TTTTGGATCTAATTAAAAAACTGCTAGTATTTGTTGGCATTGAATTAGATGTGTTGTGATTGTCTCTTTGGACGTAACAAAATAATAGGTTGGTTACAATGGTTATGCGCGGGGTAGAGGCTCATGACAGATTTTTAAAGACAATTTAAGTTTTTTTTTAAGTGGATTTGGTTCAAAACTACCACTAACGAAGTTTTTTTTTTTTAATTTTAATGGATTGAGTTCAAAAACTATCTGCAAAAGTCGCCTTAAGTTTTAGTGAATTGGGTCCAAACTATCAAAGTGATGTTTTTTTTGAATCTAATTAAAAAACTGCTAGTATTTTTTGGTATCAAAATGGATGTGTTGTGATTGTCTCTTTAGACGTAACAAGATAATAGGTTGGCGGAGTAGGGGTGCATGACAGATTTTTAAAGACAACTTAAAATTTTTTTTTAAATGGATTTAGTTCATAACTACCACTGACGATGTTTTTATTTTAATTTTAATGGTTTGAGTTCAAAACTATCAGCGAAAGTCACCTTAAGTTTTAGTAAATTGGGTTCAAACTACCAAAGTAAAGTCTTTTTTGGATCTAATTAAAAAACTGCTAGTATTTGTTGGCATTGAATTAGATGTGTTGTGATTGTCTCTTTGGACGTAATGAGATAATAGGTTGGTTATGACGGTTATGCGCGGGATAGGGGTGTATGACAGATTTTTAAAGACAACTTAAGTTTTTTTTAAGTGGATTTGGTTCAAAACTACTACTAGCGAAGTTTTTTTTTTTAATTTTAATGGATTAAGTTCAAAAACTATTAGCAAAAGTCATCTTAAGTTTTAGTGAATTGGGTTCAAACTATCAAGGTGAAATTTTTTTTGAATCTAATTAGAAAGTTGTTAGTATTTTTTGTGAATGTGTTGTGATTGTTTTATGAACATAGGTTGGTTATGAAGGTTATATATGAAGTAGCAATGTATTACAAGTAATTTTTTTTTAAGTAGATTTAGTTTAAAGCTATTACTGATAATATTTTTTTTAATTTTTTAAGTTTTAGCAGAATAGGTTCAAACTACTAAAATAAAGTTTTTTTGAATATAATTAACAAACTATTAGTATTTTTTGCTATTAAAGTTGTGATTATAAACAGTTTTTATAGATATAATAAGATAATAGATTGGTTATAATAGTTATATATAAAGTAGAAGTATATAATAGATTTTTAAAAGATAGGTTTTTTTAAAATAGATTTAGTTTAATACTATTATTGATAATAGTTGTTTTAAATAAATTGTAAATTATTATAAAAAATTTTATATATATAAATAAATTATATATAAAAACTTTATAAAATATTTTTATTATTAAATTAACAATTAATATATAAATTATAATATAGTATTTTAAAAATAAAAATAGTAATTTTTAGTTTTATTTAAATTTTACTGGTTTAGTAACAGTAGGCATTGGGCATAAATCATCTTTTTTATTAGGATTTTGTATATGATTTCTTATTTGTTCATATAAATACCATTGTCTTTCTGCACTAAGACCAGGTAATTTTTTTTCAACTAATAGATTAAATTTATCTTTTTGTTTAATTTTTTCTATTTGTATTATCATTTTTTCTCCATTAGAAGATGTACTAATTTTAACTTTTCCTTTATCTAAACTATTAAATTCAAAATAATGTTGTTTTAATATATCTGGAATTGTTATAAATTTTTGTTTTAACTAATCTGACCATTCATAAAAATGTACAACTTGATTTCCCTTATTATCAAATACTGTTTGTGCAATATTAAATCCACCAGGAGTTGAATTTTGAACTACATTAACTAAATCATCAAGATTATCTACTTCAGATTTTCTTAAAAGTAATTTTATAAGACCGAAAAATCTATCTAGACTAAATTTAGTATGTCCTGCAATCATAAAACAATAAGTTATACTATCATGTAATCCAGTTAAAACTCTTCATGCTAAATATTCTATCATTGCATTATTTTTGTTTTGTCCTGAACAATTATCAGCATGAATTACTAATCTTTTTTCACCTAATCCATGTAGTTCAAAATAATTATAAACTAAAGAAATTACAGTATCAGCACCTTTACCAACTATTTTACTTTCTTTAATAAGATAATTTACCTAAAAATTTATAAAAATATTAATATTATATAATATAAAAATTAATAAAAAAATATTAATATTTACTTGACATAGAAAAGCATCATCACATATTCCAAATAAATGAATTTTATATAAAGATTTAAAATAAATTTCACTCTAATAATAAAATAATAAATATTAATATTTATAATTAACTTTTATAAATTTAATAAAATAATTTACTTCTTGTTGAGATGAATATGGTAATTGAATTTGTTGTGCATAATTCTAAGAAATATGAACTGTAATATCTAAAGAATTTGGTTTTCTAGGACGTATTATATCTTTAATTTGAAATTTTTGAATATCTTCATATGCTATTTTAATATATTGTTTAATAAAATTTTTAATTATAAAAAATTAATATTTTGTAATAAAATTAAATAAATTTATTTTTATAAAATTAAAAATTACTTATAATTTTCTCGTTCTTCCTTTGCCTATTTAATATGTTCATACCATTCCGAAACTTTAGTATCTTTTTCCTCAATTGTCTAATAATTAGCATTAATTTTCATATCTTTACATTTGAAACATAAATCACTTCGAGGAGTTAATTTTTTAATTTGTGGTAAAAATTTTTTCCAAACTCTTGTAAATGTTATAAGACTAACTTCAAATTGTTCACTATTTTTAATTGCTTCTAAATATTGAATATATAAAGATGAATAAGTAGCATCTGCTAGTAAATATATAATTGCAATAGTATTATCACGAAAATTTCTTCCTATAAAATTTAAATTAATAAATAAAATAAATTTTTTAATAAAAAATTTTAAATTAAATTTTATTAATTTAAAAAATTACCTAGAGATGGTAAACCATTTTGTTTTGCAAAATTACCTATAAAAGTAATAACTTTCATTACTGTTTCAAAAGATAATGCTCGACTTCCAACTTTTCCAGTTTTTGAATTAATACGTAAATTAATATCATGTTCTACATAATGATCTCTTAAATTTTTCCAACGTGTATCTCCAAGTCCATAAATTATTTTAAAAGCATTTGAACAAATTGATTTTCCTTCAAAAGAATATTCTGTAGTAAGTTTAGATTTTTTTAAATTTCTAACTATTTCAGATCGTTTAGTAGCAGCAATTATATCTAATAAATATATATCTTGAAAAGACTTAGAAAGATTTTTAAAATTTAAATATCTAATTAAAGCCATAGAATACTCTACTTGAGATTGTAAACAATTTTTTCACAACAATTTTTTTCAAAAGATTTTTTAAAATCATTTTCATTTTGTAATAAACTTATATTTTCTTCTAAATTTTGATTATCATCATCTTGTTTTTCAAAAGTATCTATTGTTTTATAATATAATGTTTTAAATTTTAAAAGTTCTTCTTCAGTCCATATTTCATTTTCTAAAAAATTATCTTCAATATTTTCAGAAATTTCAGATGTTTCAAGTAAAGATAAATTATCATTATCTTGAACTAAAAATTGAAATTGTAAATTTGAAAGATCTGATTGCAATTGTGTATTTTCTATATGAGTTTCTTCAAAAATATTTTGATTTAATGAAAAAATAGACATTTTTTATAAAAGTAATTTTAAAAATTTTAAACAAAATAACATAAATCTTCTTAAATATATATTATTTTAAAATATGCATATACTATTTTTTATAATAGTTATACAATAATTATTCAAACAATAATTATACAAATTATGCATATAACAATCTAAATTTTTATAATTAAAAAATTTATATTGTATATAAGTATATAATATTAAACATGTTTTATATTGTAACGTATGAAAAAATAAGAAAATAGATAACTTTACCAAATAAATATTTGAATTTATAGTACATTTCAATTAATCCAAATTTAGTCTAATTTTTAAATTAATTGTAATAATCATTTGATAATTAAATTTATCGCCTATATACATGTATTGTGGTCTGCAAGAGGCTAGTTCCGGACCAGTTCTGAACTAGACTTTTTAGAGACCGTACAGAACTAGCCTGAAACTAATCCAGAAAATCATATGATATGAATTGAATATCATTTTGACTTTTCAAAAGAAATTCAATAAAATTTAAATCAAGAACAATACTTTTAACTGCTATAATTTAAATTTCTTTAATTGAGTTAGGTATTCTGATTGGTTGTCTTGATGATTGATTTTTTTTTACACAATACAGTACAAATTAAACCACTAGACTGGTTTCAGAGAGAGGTTATGAACTAGTTTCAACTAGACTTTTTAAGGACCAGACCGGAACTGAACCAGATGGACTTTTTAACATCCCTACCCTACCCCATGTATAACCGTCGGAGCTAACCCATTATCTTATTACGACTATAGAGACTATTCACAACACATCCACCTCAATAGCAAAAAATACCTAGTTTTTAATTAGATTCAAAAAAAAAACATCACTTTGGTAGTTTGAACCCAATCCACTAAAACTTAGGACGACTTTGCTGATAGTTTTAAACTCAAACCATTAAAATTAAAAAAAAAATATCGTCAGTGGTAGTTTTGAACCAAATCCACTTTAAAAAAAAACTTCTTGTCTTTAAAAATCTGTCATGCGCCCCTACCCTGCACATAACTGTCGTAACCAACCTATTATCTTGTTACGTCCAAAGAGACAATCACAACACATCACCTCAATACCAAAAAATACTAGCAGTTTTTTAATTAGATTCAAAAAAAAATATCACTTTGGTAGTTTGAACCCAATCCACTAAAACTTAGGACGACTTTTGCTGATAGTTTTGAACTCAAACCATTAAAATTAAAAAAAAACTTTGTCAGTGGTAGTTTTGAACCAAATCCACTTAAAAAAACTTAAGTTGTCTTTAAAAATCTGTCATGCGTCCCTACCTTGTCCATAACTGTCGTAACCAACCTATTATCTTGTTACAATCACAATACATTCACTTCAATGCCAAAAAATACTAGTAGTTTTTTAATTAGATCCAAAAAAAGGCTTCGCTTGATAGTTTGAACCCAGTTCACTAAAACTTAAGGTGACCTTTGCTGATAGTTTTGAACTCAACCTATTAAAATTAAAAAAAAACATCGTCAGTGATAGTTTTGAACCAAATCCACTTAAAAAAAAAACTTAAATTGTCTTTAAAAATCTGTCATGCACCCCTACCCTGCGCATAACTGTTGTAACCAACCTATTATCTTGTTACGTCCAAAGAGATAATCACAACACATCCACTTAAATACCAAAAAATACTAGCAGTTTTTTAATTAGATTCAGAAAAAACTTCACTTTGGTAGTTTGAACCCAATCCACTAAAACTTAGGACGATTTTTGTTGATAGTTTTGAACTCATCCATTAAAATTAAAAAAAAAACATCATCAGTGGTAGTTTTGAACCAAATCCACTTAAAAAAAACTCGAGTCGTCTTTAAAATCTGCCATACGCCTCAACCCCGCACATAACTGTCGTAACCAACCTATTATCTTGTTACGTCTAAGAGACAATCACAACATATCGACTTCAATGCCAAAAAATACTAGCAGTTTTTTAATTAGATCTAAAAAAAGGCTTCGCTTTGGTAGTTTGAACTCAATCCACTAAAACTTAAGGTGACTTTTGCTGATAGTTTTGAACTCAAACTATTAAAATTAAAAAAAAACATCATCAGTGGTAGTTTTGAACCAAATTCACCTAAAAAAAAACTTAAGTTGTCTTTAAAAATCTGTCATGCGCCCCTACCCCACGCATAACCATCGTAACCAACCTATTATCTTGTTACGTCCAAAGAGACAATCACAATACATCTACTTCAATACCAAAAAATACTAGCAGTTTTTTAATTAGATTCAAAAAAAATATCACTTTGGTAGTTTGAACTCAATCCACTAAAACTTAGGATGACTTTTGCTGATAGTTTTGAACTCAATCCATTGAAATTAAAAAAAAACATCGTCAGTAGTAGTTTTGAACCAAATTTACTTAAAAAAAAAACTTAAGTTGTCTTTAAAAATCTATCATGTACCCCTACCCCGCGCATAACCGTCGTAACCAACCTATTATCTTGTTACGTCCAAGAGACAATCACAATATATCCACTTCAATGACAAAAAATACTGGCAGTTTTTTAATTAGATCTAAAAAAAGGCTTCGCTTTAGTAGTTTAAACCCAATCCACTAAAACTTAAGGCGACTTTTGCTGATAGTTTTGAACTCAACTTATTAAAATTAAAAAAAACATCGTCAGTGGTAGTTTTGAACCAAATCCACTTAAAAAAAACTTAAGTTGTCTTTAAAAATCTGTCATGCGCCCCTACTCCGCGCAATAACCATTATAACCAACCTATTATCTTGTTACATCCAAAGAGACAATCACAACACATCCACTTCAATACCAAAAAATACTAGCAGTTTTTTAATTAGATTCCAAAAAAAACATCACTTTGGTAGTTTGAACCCAATTCACTAAAACTTAGAACGACTTTTGCTGATAGTTTTGAACTCAATCCATTAAAATTAAAGAAAAAACATCGTCAGTTGTAGTTTTTGAACCAAATCTACTTATAAAAAAACTTAAGTTGTCGTTAAAATTCTGTCATGTGCCCCTACCCCACGCATAACCGTCGTAACCAACCTATTATCTTGCTACATTCAAGAGACAATCACAACATATCTGCTTCAATGCCAAAAAATACTAGTAGTTTTTTAATTAGATCCAAAAAAAATATCACTTTGATAGTTTGAACCCAATCCACTAAAACTTAAGGTGACTTTTGCTGATAGTTTTGAACTCAATCCATTAAAATTAAAAAAAAAAAACATCGTCAGTGGTAGTTTTGAACCAAATCCACTTAAAAAAAACCCCAAGTTGTTTTTAAAAATCTGTCATGCGCCCCTACCCTGCGCATAACCGTCGTAACCAACCTATTATCTTGTTACGTCCAAAGAGACAATCACAACACATCCACTTCAATACCAAAAAATACTAGCAACTTTTTAATTAGATTCAAAAAAAACTTCACTTTGGTAGTTTAACCCAATCCACTAAAACTTAGGACGACTTTTGCTGATAGTTTTGAACTCAAACCATTAAAATTAAAAAAAAAACATCATCAGTGGTAGTTTTGAACCAAATCCACTTAAAAAAAAAACCCAAGTTGTCTTTAAAAATCTGTCATGCGCCCCTACCCTGCCAACCTATTATCTTGTTACATCCAAAGAGATGATCACAACACATCCACTTCGATACCAAAAAATACTAGTAGTTTATTAATTAGATTCAAAAAAAAACATCACTTTGGTAGTTTGAACCCAATCCACTAAAACTTAAGGCGACTTTTGCTGATAGTTTTTGAACTCAATCCATTAAAATTAAAAAAAAAACATCGTCAGTAGTAGTTTTGAACCAAATCCACTTAAAAAAAATTTCAACGTCTTTAAAAATCTGTCATGCGCCCCTACCCCGCGCATAACCGTCGTAACCAACCTATTATCTTGTTACGTCCAAAGAGACAATCTCAACATATCCGCTTCAATGCAAAAAAAATACTAGCAGTTTTTTAATTAGATCCAAAAAAGACTTCACTTTGATAGTTTGAACCCAATCTACTAAAACTTAAGGCGACTTTTGCTGATAGTT